CCACTGATCGGTGGTCTTCTGCGCGAACCGGACTTTGGATGGACTGTTGTTATTGTGATGATTGTTGGCGGGCGTCGATGTGACGGAACCGCCGTTCGGACCGTTCAGAAACTGTGTCGGACTGAATGGCAGGCATTTAAAGTCCGGCGATTGACCCAATTGTACGAATGGTGTGGACGTGGAGTTAGCCATAAAGTGGTTCTCATTGAACGGATTCTTTTGCTTCTTCATGGAAGGGGGCGTCTGGTAGTCAACCATTGTTTGTCTCCGTTTCAGAATCGATGGATGAAATATTGAAGAGGCGTTTGGAGAGGCATTTGGATTCATATCTAAGTTTTGCAGCAAAAAACAACTCTTCGGCGGAGAACTAAGCAATGGTTCGTCGATAGCGGACACGAGTTCAGAGACGGTCAGGTCGTTGAAGGCCGAGCCCGCAGATGAGGCCAATTCGGTTAACTCGCGCTCAATCACATCGGCGTTGAGCGGCGATAACAGATCACTCAAGTCGTTGAGACCGTCATCGCTGTCCTCATACTCGGCCGCCGTATAAGTGGTGGTCGGCTGAAGGGGTCTCGAAGTGGTCGACGACGGGAACGACTGTTGGTTATCATTAAGCGATCGATTGGCGCTCGAAATAGTTTCGCAAAAACTCTCAAATTGTTTGGTAAACGAAGTGCTCGAAAACATCTAATTTCAATGTAAAACACATGTATTTCAATCACAACTAAACTTAATCTTATCATAAGTTGTAATGTTTGACAAACACTTTAATCCGTTTAATACCTCATATGAATTATCAGTCGCTTTATTCACATTACGATTACGTCTACTATTTCGCCGTTTGAGGGGAACAGTCGGCGAACCCCTGATAATCGCCTCCGACTTCCTCTTCAGCGTAGAGTTCCAGTGGTTTTTGATAGCGTTGTCAGTCCTTCCGGGCAGTAGTTTCGCAATCTTCGCCCATTGGTTACCCCACTGTTGGTGAGCCTTAATGATAGTCATCTCTTCGGTGTCGGTCCACGCGGTCTTTATGATCTCCGGGTTCAGGTGGTTGTGCCACCGCTCGCGACACTGTTTCCCTATACGGCCGTCCAATTGCTTCGCAATCAGAGTCCACTTCTTGGGCCCGTATTTGTCCACCAATTCCACCACTTTTTCGTCTTCCTATTTGTTATCAATTTTCGCCAATCAATCAACAAATCAATAGGTTTTTTGGCGCCAATCAATCAAAAGTGCAAAAGGAAAGGGAAGGGATGGGCGAAAAGGGAGGGCAGGTGTTTGTCAACAACACACACACCGATGGTATAGGAAATGCATAGCGATTAAGACAAAGGGATGCGCGTCTGGCATAGGGTGGCCGTACCTGTCGAGTCCAGGGACCTTTGATGAGCTTCGGGTTCACCACTTTGTCCCACCGTTGCTGACACTGAATGTCTGTGCGGTCGACAAAATGGCCGGCAATGGTCTGCCAGTCGTGTTCGCCAAACGTGTCCACATAGGTCTTGAGTCTGTCGTCTTCCTCTTTAGTCCATTTGCCTCTATTCACGCACTTCTTGTGTCCGCCGCCGTCGGCAGCCATCGGGCCGGTGATGGCGGCCAATGAGCCGAGCGATGTGGTCGACGTGACCAGCGCTTCGGTCGAACAGCTGCTCGACTCGTCGCCGCTGTCCATGTCTTCGGACGAGTAGTAATCCATTTGGCGATCCATTCAATGGTTTCGAGTCGTGAGACAAGCGATCGAACGGAAGGCAAAACAATCGACAAATGAATACAACAATTAAATGACACAATCGGTCGAGACTTCAGTCTGTGTTGTGTCTCAACAATGCATTCATACCTCAAACACACCGTCAATGTTGTGGTTGTAATGATTGGGTTAGCGATTGGATTCACAATTGAAATCACTGTACAAATTGATCACTCAATACATGATATAAGAGAATATATATAAAAATTATGTATAAATTATGATTAAAACTAAACAAATGATTATAATATAAAAATCATATAATAATTGATTGCATTTTTTTGTTATAATAGTCGCGCTTTCAATGGCACTAATGGCGGCAAAACAGCACAAATGCATTCAAAAAGCACACATTAAACGCTCCCATTGGCTGACAAGTCTGACCGCACGCGTGCGCACAACCGCTCACACGCTATATCTATCCAAATGTAAATGAGATGAAAAGTTTTGACACTTTGTGTTCCCCTTTTGGTTGCATTCCAGCCATTGAGAGGGCGTTGCTATCGATTCCCAGGCTTTGTGTGCTGTTCAGCCGTGAGTCGGTCTGGAATGTGTAAACGTGTGCGCAATTGTGTCCCCTTTTGTTTGTATAGTTCACTATAGCGTATGGTATATAAAATAGTACCGAAACCCATGTAGAGGGTTAGCACTGTATTTGAGTGGCAATTGTTGATTGTATTGTGTGTTTTGGTTTGCAGTACAGATGTGTTGCGAAATGGCAGCCAAACTATGAGCCAATGGGAGTTCGCGGTGTGTTTGCATTTGTTGGTGCAGTCAATACAGTGACTACACTGTAGTGTTTGACAGCACTGCCAGCGCTCTCCCAATACAGTCTCTCAATACAGTCCACTCTCTGAATGGCATTACTATTGGCGAGCATTTGGTTGTGCTTTGCATTACGTTTGCATTCATTCACAGCATTAATGCCATAATCTTTTGTGTTGTTTGTGTTCTCAGCACTCAA